GTTTATGGGCGTGAAATAAAAAAAGTGCGCAGTGACGTACCATAAGGGAAGGGGTGTAGCAAGTATTGGGATTCTTTTAAATATGCGTTACTTGAGTTCATGTTTTGTCAAGTAACTTTAATAGATGGGAAGTTCACGCAATGCTGTCACCAATGTTTGGCGGGCTATATCTCGTAGTATTTTATTTTAAAGAAGATCTCACTGAAAGTTGAGCTCTTATTGAGATCACTAATAATTGTTTCTTTTTGGGCAACCATGGCAAAACATGATTTTAAATTACCCGGTTTTTAATTTTAAAATTGTAATATCTAACGGTTTAAAAAAATGGTCTTATTAACTTAACATTGATGTACACTGGCATCTAATCTGAAAAATAGACATTGCTACAAAACAAATAAATGAAATCATCTCAAATGAGAAATGCTACTCACTAATCGATGGTCCCATAACCCTGGGCTTTGGTTGCTGCAAGTGTTGCCACAACAATAATGATTGGAGGCACTGCAGTGAGAAAATATATTAAATTTTATATCATTAAAATTAAAAGTGTAAAAAGACTTACCTAAAAAATATGATACAAGAAAAGACTATAGATTGAATTGGATGCATCAGGGTAACATAAAAATATTGAAATGGTATAGCTCCTGCACATCAATACACCCATCACTGTGCCACCACAAGCCATGTACAGCTCTGGTCTGCCTTACCACCTCCTTCCATTCACACCTAACCCATTTTAATAATAATTGATTAAACGAACAGCATTTCTGTGTGTACCCATTACATTCTTAATTTTTGTTTAAAAACAGTATCCCTGTTTTCATTTCATCTATTTCCACACACATGGAATAAAGTATATTTAAAATTATGCCAATAACTAAATGTTCGTTAAAACATGATGCTATACATGGGCGCCCGCAGAAAACTTTCCGGGGGGGGGAGGCAAAAAAATCAATTAACTTTCCAGGGGGGGGGCAAAATTTTTTTAGTAATGTTTTAATATAGTTTTAATTTACTGTAGCGTATTTGTATGGTGAACAAACGGACAGGAGTTACTTTCTCTTTATTTTCTCTTTATTTTAATAAATTTTTTGTCTATTTTTGTATAAATTTTTTTTATCCAATCAATTCAAGGGGGGGGGGGGGCAAGTGCCCCACCTTGCCACTACGTGCGGGCGCCCATGATGCTATAATACAATTTATAATGAACTCCGACCCCTACTTAAAAAGTCTTGCTTTTACCGGGGGGGGGGGGCAAAAAAATCAATTAACTTTCCAGGGGGGGGGGCAAAAATTTTTTAGTAATGTTTTAATATAGTTTTAATTTACTGTAGCGTATTTGTATGGTGAACAAACGGACAGGAGTTACTTTCTCTTTATTTTCTCTTTATTTTAATAATTTTTTTGTCTATTTTTGTATAAAATTTTTTTATCCAATCAATTCAAGGGGGGGGGGGCAAGTGCCCCACCTTGCCACTACGTGCGGGCGCCCATGATGCTATAATACAATTTATAATGAACTCCGACCCCTACTTAAAAAGTCTTGCTTTTATGAGGAAACATAATTTGAAGAAAGATTACAAATATTTGAAACTTATGAAGAACTATATTACAATGATTCTAATTGGTTAGAGGGATCAGTTGCCTGAGAGAAACACTGACATGAAGTCGTTTCAAAATAACCGTCTTATAAAGTCTAAGATATTTTGTGATAAGGTTAACAGGAGATGGGTCGACAAAAAAAGAGAAAGATGGAGATGACTGTGTAGATAAGGGAATAAGTAGTTTATAGGGAATGCGGTAAACAAGAGAAATGAGAAAGGAAGTACGCTGTGATTAGTTGTACAAACTCTTGGGGTCAAAAAGTTCAAATTAAAAGTTCAAAACCAGTAGGAAGATAATTTTATTTTCTTTATTCTGATATCTGATTTTTTAAAAAAAATACTAATGCATAGATAAGACTCAGTGGCGTAGCTAGGGTCGGTGTTACCTGGTGCGGTAAACTCAGAATGTCACCCCATCTCCAAGATGGATTTGTTATGTTTAAAATAAGTCCACAGTATAACAATGACAAGAACAAAAACTAATTAATTTAAGGTCAATTTAAGAACTGTATTTAAAAATTCATAGGATCCAGAGTGATCAATACGTTAGTCGTGGGCCCTCAAAATATGGAAGAAAAAGACGTAGCAACGTTAAGCTATAATTATTTTTACATTGAATTTACTTGATTAAGATTTTTCCTCTCCTGGTCTTCAAAGTTGCAAATCTGTCACTAGCTTTATTAAATTCAATATTCTGCACCATATCATTTTCAACTGATAGTAGAGCCAGATCAGAAAGCCTTGACTATCCCATGGTGGATCGTAAATAGTCTTGATAAAACTCAGTTTTGAAAAGCTCCGCTCACACAAACCACAGACACACAGATTGTAAGAACCATTTGAAGGCTTGGCGAGAGTATTGGGAAAGATTGTAGAAAGTCTCATTCAGCTATGAATTTCAAAACATCAAATAAAGACCAGTCCTTGAATTTGTGAAATTCAATATCAGCTGCCTTTAGTGTCTTCCAAGCCTTGGTATTTCTTTTAAAAGTTCATCCTCTGATAACTCATCAAAGAAAGAGGTTAATTTTCGAACAGACACCAATAATTCTTCTTCACTTCCTTATAGTAGACACTTGCTGATAGTAGACCCTGAGATGGTTCCCCCAGTGCGGTCCGCTTTCCCCACAACCGCACCCCCTAGCTATGCCACTGATAAGACTTAATGTCTGGTGAAAACATGAAACTTGAATTCCATTCGTTTTTTTTTATTTTTGCAACCAAAATTTAATAAATATTTTCCAAGTAACAAAAAAACAACATGTAAACCAAATTAGTTGAGTTGCCTTTGCCTTCATAAAAATGAGGTCCTAAAATCAGATTTTAAAAAAATCAAGTTAACTTTTTACCTATGAGAAATCTATTTTTTAAAAATTGCAAATGCTTGTTATTAAATTTGAGTTTTTCTTTAAACAAGTGATATGTTCTCTTCAAAGGTTTTAGTAAAGCTATAAAATTGAAACAGTGAGTAAAATATCATTCAACTTGTTCTCTTCACAGATTTCAGATATAGCTATAAACTTGAAACAGTGTAGAAAACACAATGCAATTTCTTTAATGACTTGAAAAAAAAGACAATTTTAAAATTTAACATTCTAACCATTTCATGCGTTTATAATATAATATGATAGAATCGGATATTTATGTAGGCTACTTTACTTACCGACTTCCATTGCTAATAAGTACTTCCATATTGGTTTCCTCGAAATGGCAAACACAATTATTTTACAAATTGCCATTCCATTAGCCAGCATGGCAAACTGGCTAATCAAAAAAGCCAAATGCAGAAAGACTGCAATAATTCTGCAGATTATCTGGAAGTAAATAAATTTCATTTATTTTTTTCAGTTAAATTTAAAATTGCCATTCCATTAGCCAGCATGGCAAACTGGCTAATCAAAAAAGCCAAATGCAGAAAGACTGCAATAATTCTGCAGATTATCTGGAAGTAAATAAATTTCATTTATTTTTTTCAGTTAAATTTAATTTTAAAAACATTAATAAAAATATTGTAAATATTAAAAAGCGAAACCTAAAAACATGTAGGTATAAGTTGAACCTAAAAAGCAAAACAGTGCATTTAATCAAAGCGTCATTGATTACAATTTCTAAAAGCAGGTACCTTATTTTTATTAAGATTTGCTTTATATAAGTAATACCTTTAATAAATTAACCCATAAGTCAAAAAAGAGAGTAATGAATGGTTACTTTTCTTCACTTATTAAAAAATATATATATATTGATTTAAGTATGTTAAATCAAGGCAAACATTCTATATATATCATTTGGAGATAGAAATTAGAGCTTTTAAAGTTAACAATAACTTAAAATGATATGAAAAGGTGGTAAACATAAATAATTTATTGGGCCGGTGATGGTTTACAAAAGATTGTTAGAGTTACTGATAAGTATATAGGCCCCAAGTCTGGAAACTCACCTCACTGTTGGTTTTATTTATTCCTGTAAGGAATAATACATAGCCTATTACCAATGAGCCACAGAGGCTTAAATGCGTGACTGCTCTTTCTCTTTTCAGCTTCCTAAGACAAAAACAGTTTGAATGCCTGAATATAGTTGACAATAGACAATAATTGTGATTTTTAAATGAAATACCTCAGACAGGACAAAATATCAAAATGAACATTGAAGCAAGAAGTATTAAACTGAAGTAGGTGGTGGGAGAGGTCGAGGCTACTTATTCTAAATGGAATAACATTGCCAGCACTGAGGTTGCACGGAGAAATCAGCGAATAATCTGTTATTTGATATTTTTTCAAAAACTCAGTTAACCCAATTTTTCCGGGAGTTAAATCAAAGAGTTGATTATTTAAACCAGCCTCAGGTGGTTGCCTCGGGACGGATCTTGGTAGGCTTGGAATGAGTTTTGTCTGCATTTGTATCAGTATTTCTTTTCTTTGCATGAGACTTGGTCGGGTTTTGGTGAATCCTGGTTGGATTTAAACTTGACCTGGTTGGCTTTGGTGACCCCTGGTTAGACTTTAACTTGCCCTGGTTGGCTTTGGTGAATCCTGGTTGGAATTTAACTTGCCCTGGTTGGCTTTGGTGATTCCAGGTTGGAGTTAAACTTGCCCTGGTTGGGTTTGGTGAATCCTGGTTGGATTTAAACTTGCCCTGGTTGGATTTGGTGAATCCTGGTTGGAAGTAAACTTGCCCTGGTTGGCTTTGGGGAATCCTGGTTGGAATTAAACTTGCCCTGGTTGGCTTTGGTCAAACTGAATGAATATTTGTTAGCTTTGGACGAGCTCCAAAGTAACTGCAGGTCATCTAGAAGTCAAGTCCCCTACACCAGTGGTCCCCAAACGCCGGGCCGCGGACCGGTACCGGTCCGTGGATCAAATGGTAGCGGGCATCCCAAGAAACATTAAATTATTTCCATTTTATAAGCTTACCACATTTTCTGGATGATAAGTACGGACACAAAGGCTCACACCAACTGGAACCATACCGTCAAAAAGGGTTGGGGGGGGATAATGTTGTTGTGCCTGATTTTATTTTGGACACTCCCACCCCTTCCCCAAACTTGTATGTACGAGTAGCTTTTAGCCCCCATCCCTATATAAAAACACCAAAGACATCAAACAATGTCAGAGGGCTAAAAATAAAAAATAAAAAATGAGTCGCTTGTTTATACAGCCGACAATACAGCCAGCCCAGTGGTCCCCATAAAATGCATCGCTCTGGGTGCCATGTTACCCTGAGGCATAGCCATGAGAATGGGGCAAAGAGAGCAGTCACAGCGGGCACCAAATTCTTCTTTATTTATGATTATAATAGTGAATAAAAAATGTCAAATACCACACACTGCAGAAAGACGAAGGGGACCAAAAAGCGTCTTTTTTTTTACTGATACGCCCCGGGGGCACTTTTTCTGAAAATTAAGTGGCACTATTTCTGGCTTCACACCAGGTGAAGCATTGCCTCCGCAGCGTTCTAACACCAGTAAAAATAGAATAACATAAAAACAGCACTTAGCTGAAAAGTAGTATCCGAGAGGGCTGCAAAGGAATGATGAAAACCTAAATTCGGCATAAGCGCCGGGAATCAAACAATGTAGGAACCACTGAACTAGCACATTGAGATACGGTGGAAGAAATATTACTGATCTACTGCTACTACTGAGTACTATCAAAGCGATAGCTAGCTAGTAGGGGTTGCAATCCAGGATCCCGAATCTCGAAAATACCGGACCATAAAGGATGCTAAAAATACTTGGAGGTATGAAAACCGGGATTTTCGAAATTGAAGAAAAGCCCCAGTCAGTGATGTGACAGAAGAGCCTTCAAAATCAAAGAAAATGCATACAACTTTTTAAAAGACAATACCATGAGTCCTACTTGAAATATGGATTTATAGGGACCGGTGATTCCCACACACCAATCCCGCTCTGCTTAGTTTGCGGTGACCGGCTCTCTAATGAGGCAATGAAACCTTCAAAACTGCTTCGCCGCTAGAGCTCCAAGTGCTCTGGACTATTTTGAATGAAAAAAAAAACGCGAACACGAAGAACAGCGAAATTTCTGAGGGCCTCCCCACCAATAAAGGAGAATGCACTGAGAGCATCATATTTGGTGGCTAACCGTATTGCTGAGGCTAAAAAGCCATTCACTATCAGTAAAGAATTGATCTTGCCATCTACTAAAGACATTTGCCGTGAACTTCTAGGAGACGCTGACGTTAAAAAGATGATACTACTCTTTATATGTGCGATATCTTTATCAGGAGGATGTACATGAGGATTTATTATGTGCCCTATCTTTGCCAACCAACACCACAGGAGCAGATCTGTACAAGTCACTGGATGCCAACCAACACCACAGGAGCAGATCTGTACAAGTCACTGGATGCCAACCAACACCACAGGAGCAGATCTGTACAAGTCACTGGATGCCAACCAACACCACAGGAGCAGATCTGTACAAGTCACTGGATGCCAACCAACACCACAGGAGCAGATCTGTACAAGTCACTGGATGCCAACCAACACCACAGGAGCTGGATGGTTATCTATCAGGCCAACTAAAACGGTCCTTTTGTGTCGGCATATGCACAGACGGAAAAGCTGCTGCCATGACCGGACGACTGTCTGGTTTAACTGCTGGGTTTAAGGAGGTTGCACCTGAGAGTGAATCTATGCATTGTAGCATTCACAGGAAAATGCTGGTACTGGTTTAACTGCTGGGTTTAAGGAGGTTGCACCTGAGAGTGAATCTATGCATTGTAGCATTCACAGGAAAATGCTGGTACTGGTTTAACTGCTGGGTTTAAGGAGGTTGCACCTGAGAGTGAATCTATGCATTGTAGCATTCACAGGAAAATGCTGGTACTGGTTTAACTGCTGGGTTTAAGGAGGTTGCACCTGAGAGTGAATCTATGCATTGTAGCATTCACAGGAAAATGCTGGTACTGGTTTAACTGCTGGGTTTAAGGAGGTTGCAGCTGAGAGTGAATCTATGCATTGTAGCATTCACAGGAAAATGCTGGTAAGCCGAAAAATGTCACCGGAATTTATTATCATATTAATTTATTTAGTTAACCACATCAAAGAACACACACTTAAATCGCACCTGTTTCCGCAGCTTTGTGAGGAGATGGACGCAGAGCACAGATGCCTTCTTTTGTACACAGAGCACAGATGCCTTTTTTGTACACAGAGCACAGATGCCTTCTTTTGTACACAGAGCACAGATGCCTTCTTTTGTACACAGAAATAAGATGGTTATCCAGAGGAAAATCGCTAAACAGAGTATTTGAAATTACGAGAGCCGTTGAAAAGATTACTCTCAGAAAAAAAGTCACCCCAGGCAGCAAATTTCAGTGACAAGGTATGGGTCGCAAGACTGGCTTACCTGTGTGACATATTCAGCCAGCTTAATGAACTCAATCTGTCTCTTCAGGAGAAAATGACAACTGTTCTCAATTCGGAAGACAAAGTAGCTGCGTTTAAAGCCAAACTGGAGTTGTGGGGACGGCGCGTGAACAGAGTCATTTTGGACATGTTGCAAACATTAGCGGGGACTTTAGGCGAGACTGAGACTGAGCATTCATTCCCACAGTTGGTGCATGATCACCTGTCTTTGCTTTTCTAAGAGTTCGAGCGTTACTTCCAAACCACAAAAGACCAACGAACTGGTAAGGAATAGATAATTTCCTTCCTATAGCCCTTTTATTGAATCATGAAATTGCATGGAAATACTACTCCCCACTTAATAGTTTGTGGATAGATGTGGTGGATAGGACATGGTGGTGGAAAGTTCATGGTGGAGGATAGGACATGGTGGTGGATATGGTCATGGTACTGGATAAGGCCATGGTGGTGGATATGGTCATGGTACTGGATAAGGCCATGGTGGTGGATATGGTCATGGTACTGGATAAGGCCAGGGTGGTGGATATGGTCATGGTACTGGATAAAGCCATGGTGGTGGATATGGTCATGGTACTGGATAGGGCCATGGTGGTGGATATGGTCATGGTACTGGATAAGGCCATGGTGGTGGATATGGTCATGTACTGGATAAGGCCCTGGTGGTGGATATGGTCATGGTACTGGATAAGGCCCTGGTGGTGGATATGGTCATGGTACTGGATAAGGTCCTGGTGGGGGATATGGTAGGCCATGGTGGTGGATATGGTCATGGTACTGGATAAGGCCATGGTGGTGGATATGGTCATGGTACTGGATAAGGCCATGGTGGTGGATATGGTCATGGTACTGGATAAGGCCATGGTGGTGGATATGGTCATGGTACTGGATAAGGCCATGGTGGTGGATATGTTCATGGTAGTGATTAATTTATTCCCCGCCTCAATTCAATTAGTCGATTAGACAACGTCAAGTTAAGGCGTCATAGCAAGTCTCAATAAGGCAATGAAGAGCAGTAGCTGAGCAAAAATTAGATAGAAATAAATGTATATATACCTGTTTACCCTCAAACCCCTAAAATCGTACAATATGGTTTCAAAATCGTACAATACAGTATCTTAATAGCAAATGAAAAAACTACAGTATACATTATATATATAATAACTACTCATATAGCGGTGTTCAGTGGAATCGAGTTAAGCTGGCGTCAACAAATGGAACGCGCAGTCATACAACGCAAACAAACACGAGGGACCATCTATATAAAACGTACCGGTACGCAGAGAAGTCTAATTATTTACCCCCCCCCCGGGCCTTTCCATTGCACGCAGACTTTTTTTTACAACCCCCTTCCCCAATTAAAATAATACAAAAATTAACAAAAACCATTGTATATTATGTTATAGTAAACAAAATGTGACATGGGTTTTCACCACTGGTGATTCGGCCAGCCTCGTGGTTCACAGAATAGATGCTACATCGGACTACATCGCCCTGGGTACTCGCTGCTCTTGGGCAGGGCCATGAGAATGTAACGAAGAGCAACGGGCGCGCAAATCGTCTATAGAAAGGAACTGAAACAGTTAATTCAGCTATAAAATACCATTTACATCACAAAGATTAAGGGCGAAATAAATTTTCTTTTTACTGGTCCGCCCACGTGGGGGGGGGGTGGGTGGTGGGGCAAATTTTCTATCTGGGCTGCTGCGGCTTCCTCACAGGGGCGTTGCGAAATATTAAAAACATTTCATAATTTGGTTATCATTTTTAATCCAATGTGACAACTTTCGGTTCAGTTACCCACTTGAGTATCTACTGTTTGCAGTTACAGGTGGCGCCCTACATACGTGTTCTATTTATTCTTATTCCACCCTTTATTTTATTTTTGTATTCGCTATTTCCAAGTGTACTTGTTAGAATTTCACACAAGGAGCCTGGTGAAAACCTAATATGGCATAGGCGCCGGCTAACGAAAATGTTAGAACATTCGGTGGACTTAACATCCTCATACCGTAATTTCTACTACTGCTACTGAGTACAGCTAGCGAGTTCATTTGTGAAAACACCTCTATAATTCGTACTAAACACTGGGAGTTATTTTACAGCATTCGAGATGTAAATATGCTATTTTTCGACTTTGAGAGTTTCGGGATGAATATTGTAGAATTTTCTTACTAACGCACATACTTTCTGCCGAGGATCCCCCCCCCACACACACACACACCCGAACTGTCATTACGAAAATTTGGCGGTGTTGAGTATCTAAATTTAAATGCACGCCATGCACACGATCTCCTAAATCAACACCACCCCTTTTGTCTCTGATTGATGGCTAATGAAAAGCCCGACTGTTTATTACGTTCGCGCTGACGATGGGCATGGCCGAAAACTCTGTGAAATCCACGAATTCCAATTAGGCCTATTATTAATTATTATTATTAAGGCTATAAAAATATCACCACAATGTTTGGCCGTTATCGTATACTAATGCTTTGCGTTTTCATCAAGAAATCACAGTAGTACCGTGGTAATAGTTAACATGACATAAGGACAACACGTCTTTCCGTGCTGTGACGTAATTGTTTCCAACCACCCCCCACCCTCATTAAGGGTGAAAAAACTGTGCCGTCGCTTCCCCAAAAGGCCTCTGTTTTTTTTTCTTCCTGCTAACACACTTTTAGTCCAGTGGTGGGCACATTCATTAGTTATAAGAGCCAAAAAATCACAAGCAGGGCGATTAAAATTTAAGAGCCAATTTTTTTTCAAGAACCTATCAAGAACCATGTTTTTGGGAGTCAAACCCGTTCGTGGCCGGCTGACCGAGCCGCACTTGGATCACTTAAGAGCTGCATGCAACTCGCGAGCCGCGCTTTGCCAACCACTGCTATAGTCTAATTACCGCAAGCTGCAAAAAGAAAAGTGTGTGGGGCGAGGGGGGGAGGGGGGGTAGTAGGAGTAGTGATACCAAACTGTTGGATTAAAATCGTTGAGGGCATAGAGCTGCTTTATGAGTTATAAACATGGTTTGTAAATGCCGCTGACTGGCTCTTATAAAATATGCCCAAAGCCAACGCTCCAGTCCAGACCAGTTGGATAATGTATTCTATTTTATAAACCATCCGTTTTCACAATCGCCGCGTTTCTGAGGAACAAAATAATTATGCAACAAAACTACGTCACACGCTTGCTAGCAGTCAAAGGCGATGGTAAGAGCAGTTGTCGCTAGGGTGACAAATCTAAATACTGCTGTTGACGCAGCCAGCTAGTTCACTGTGACTGTGACACACAAAGCAGCAATACGACAATAACCATCAATACGATACTTCGCGGTTATTTATTTATATCCTTTGACACTCCCACCAATCCCCTACCCATGCGTGTTTCGCATGCCACAATTTCCTTAATCAAGAGCCCCCACCTCCCCCCATTAGTGCTTACGAAATATAATGAAGAATTGTCCCAAGAAAAAAAAGCAACCAATCGTTTTTCTCGGTCATATTCACTGCCAGATCTTTATTTTAGAGAGCGCTAAAATTGCCAAAACCGAATATTTATTATTTGTTTAATCAGGAATTTTTTTTTTCAACGGGCCTCTGAAAATCGTAGTTTTAGCGGGTATCAGCGTACTATCGTAAAAGACATCTAAAAATCGTACATTGTACGCCAAAATCGTAAGAGTAAACAGGTCTGTACACACATACACACTCATGTAGTGCCCCTTTTAGTGAATCACTTTTTAATAAATTTATATACATTATGATCTTACCTGATTTGAATGATAAAGATGACCATTGCTAAACACAGGCAAACACTTGACCCTATGAGGAATCCCATGGATAAGTTTTTTAACAGATCATCAGCCTTAGGCTAAATGGTAAAAGAATATTAAATTAATACATAAATTGAATATAGGAAATGTAGCATAATATGAACATTTTGTAAAATATAAATAAGTAACCTTTTAATATGCTAGTGTCTAATAAATATTTTACATATCCATTGATCTTTTTAGATAAAAACTTTAACGTTTCTAAACTGTATTTTACAAAAAGAGCTTCTTATTTTATCGACAATTTCTTTCGTTGCACATCTTTAGAAATGGGTAAAACAAAGAAAAGCTCACAGCATTGAATGGAGACATAATGACTGCAAAAATGGTTGCATGATTGCATGTGCACACCAGCACCGAGGAGTTGAGGATTTCGGTGGCACAGCCCCGTGTTTCCCATGTCATATTTCTACAGAGTGAAAAATAAACAAGGAAAAATTAAGTCACTTTTTGCGAGCACATTAAAAAAAACAAAAACAAGCCCACTGGATTAATACGTCATTAAATAAGGTATTATCAATGTTTAAAAGTTAGCAGAGTTAGATAGGGTGCTTTATAGGGTGCTTTATGGGGTGCTTTATGGCGACCATGTCTATGTTCATTTCCCTTCTGTGGCATCCAGGTTTAAATACATATGAAAAGATGACATTTTTTTGGCAGCTGACTGAGCTGAGTATAAAAATATCTTTTGTCCTGGTTTAAAAAAAAGCTTCAATTTTATTTAGATGGTTGTTTCTTTGTTTTTCCAGTTAAGACTTTGAGAGATATAACATCAACCACAAATGGAATACAAATAGATTTTTAAAAATAATTATTTATTCTTAAAGCTTCATTTTAATATTATTGACTCTTCAATTTTGTTAATACATCTTCAAAAAATATAGCTAAAAAAAAAAAAAAAAAAAAAAAAAAAAAAAAAAAAAAATGCTCTTACATTTCTAAAACGTTTGCCCAACTTAATGGTTATGTAAGTTACATTGTAAGCAAAAGAAAAGTTTCTAAATTCATATTAATATCTCAACAGTCAATTTTAAAAGGAAGACCAATATGACTGCTTCCAAAAGCTTAAGTCTATCTCAGGACATAGAAATTATTCGTAGAGATTTAACTATACTCGATGTTTAGTAAATAATACTTATTTTTCATTGAGAAAATTCACCATACAAACTTATAGGCATAATAAAAATATTACCTTTAATTAGATTCAATGAAGTGAAGAATCACAAATACAAACTTAAAGGCAGAATACAAATATTACATTAATGTTATTCAATGAAGTGAAGTTTCACAAATAGTAAATGAAGGGCAGAATACAAATATTACCTTTGATGGGATTGAAGGAAGTGGCATGTAGGAGTGGTTCCACTTATCTAATGAAAAAAAAAGAACGAATTATAAATTGAACAGATAATTTTTGAAGTTTTGTCAAATACGTTTGCCTTTAAATATTAATATTTTACTGAATTGTTAGTGCTCAAAAGTTGGAAATGTTCAATACTTTGTTCAAGCTTCATGGCTATTTCAAGACTTGGTTAAATTATTACCAACTAAAACATTGACCAGATGGGATAGTTTGTTATTTATGTTTTCATAACACGTTAGGCAATATATTTTCATTTTATTATGAAGAGAGGAAATGACCACATCAGAACTGGTCATTTGCATGGCGGACCTTGGTTTCTAATGCTGAGATTGATTCAAAGGCAAGTACAAAATCAGGCAAGCAAATAATATACTGTATTTCTTCGACATTAAAACGTCAACTGTTTTTTTACAATCTTTGGAGGATGACGAAAAAAAAAATATTTAAATTTTATTAAAGAAATACAGGTTGATACTTTAAAGCCTCTACACCAGTGGTTCTCAACCTGTGGTTCGCGACCACTTTGGGGGTCAAACGACCCATTCACAGGTGTCGCCTCAGACCATTGGAAACACATATTTGTGAAGTAGCAACAAAAATAATGTTATTGTTGGGGGTCACCACAACATGAGGATCTGTATTATAGGGTCACGGCATTAGGAAAGTTGAGAACCACTCTTTTCACAGTCACAGCAGGAATTGTACATTTGCTGAGCACCAGATGCAACCATAGAGAATAACTAGGCTTATCCAGAAAGATCTTGGAATGTTTAAAGTTAAAGGGAGGAGAACTAAACAACTAACTTGAGGCAAATGAAGGTCTGACTGAAGACATTTACCTGGCTGATATATACGAATTCTGTTAGAAGCAACAAAAATTGTACCTGACATTGACCATATATTTAGCCAAAAAGCAGGCGCATACTTTTAAATTAAAATAATAACAAAACTATTTCTTCATTTAAATTTTTTAATATTAATATTAGTTTTGGTGTTTTTTTTTTGCGCTACAATTACTCCAAATAAGATATGTGCAGTGGGCATTAAGATCAAATCAAATTTTAATTCAAAACATCGCACAGCCCCCCCCCAACCACACAGTGTCAGAGGGACAGGGTCATAGCCCTCGTCCTGACCCCCCCCCCCCATCCCTCCTATTATATAGTTTGAGGATTTATGGATACTTTTTGCAATGACAAGTAAATTCATTTGTTTAAAAAACCAGATTTGAACATGACGACAAAATTGTTGCAGACAAAAGATAGATGTGTTCCATAGTTCGATAGCACCATTGAAGACAATTGTCTAAATTCTATGACATCAATTTTAATAAATGAAAACATTGGAAGTAAAAAATTAAAATTCAATAAGATGAAACAACTCTGAGTTACGGTAAAAATGTAAACTTCATGCAGTACTTACTTCTTCAATTTTAAAAACGATCTGTACAGCTTTCACGTGAACTGATGCGGTAATTGCGATTACTTTAGATCCTAGACTAATGTTTAAATTTCTGAATGCAGAAAGAAACATGTGTTTTATATGTGTAAAAAAATCTTCACGCTAAACCAAACAATTCTTTATCATTTTTTTAGAAGGTATGGCTTCAGCGAGCAGTAGAAATGCAAGAAATTTAGCCTATCCATAATGTAGCCTGTGGCTATTTGTAATAAAATTGTGACACAAGCTATATCGGAATATGTGATCAAGTAAGGTTAAGTGCATGTGTATGTAGCTAGTCATTTAAGGAAGTTTAAGCTTGTTAATTTTTAAAAAGACAAATGTTCTAGTAATATATTATGACCACAAACCTTCATCAGTGTAAAGAAAGTTAATGAATTTAAATTTTAATCAAATGGTGCATTCTACTGAAGCAGAAGGAAAGGGTAAAATTGTCTAGCATTGGTTGTTTACAAACACATAATAAAGAGATTGCGGGACATGCTAAATGTTTATGTCCACTTCACATATATATGTTAAATCATTCTCAAAATCCCACCACGTTATGTTTCTTTCTTTACTGCAATTAGAGTAAAAAATATTAAATTTGGAATTACTTTTTTAAACTCTTTAGGTTTTTAAACACCGTAATACCCACACGTTCATCTGTTGAAGTAAAGAAACACACATGTCACATTTGTATCCATGATATTCTAGTTAAAAAGATTGTTAATCAGCATAAAGCTTTTTAAAAATATCATTAAAATTCCGCTCTAAATCTAAAAAAGGAAAAAAAAATTAAAATTAAAAAATTGACAAAGCTATCGTCAACCACTTAAATAGGTATCTTGTAAACTTATTAAAGTATATTATCTGAAACATTGGTTATTCAAATTGCCCCTCCATTTTTTTATTATTATTATCCTACACATTGTATTTGGCATGGAGTATTTGCACTGTAAAAAAACTCCAGCCCCTGCTTCACAATCCAGGTAAAATCTAGAGATATATTTTGAATGCAGTATGTAGGCGGGGATAATTCGATCTTTAAACTAGTTTATTAATAAATATTTAGACTTTTAATGTTTGCAAAGATAAAGTATCAACAGATTTTATTCATAGGGCATTGTGATCTAATCATCTATTTTTGGAAAAGCAGCAGAAAAAAATGATAGTCCTGATTTTCTACACCAATCAGCTGACCAGGATAATGCCTACAGTTAATCATTATGTGCATATTACACTGTATTACAAATCACCTTGTTTAACACAAGAAATTATTTTATTCTATGCACTATCTTCTCTTAAAGGAACATTTTATGTGGAAGTGTTATTTTATCCATAAATAGTTTATCGAAAAAAAACCAACTATAATTGAAAATGTGATACAAAATTATACAGTGCAAACAAATTAGAAGTAAGTTTAAAACTTAGATTCTAAATGATAAAAAGCGATAATTTTCAATTCTGAGATCAGACAAATGAACGTTTGACATATTTAAGTTCAATTAAATTTTACAAAGAAATTTTCAGTACCTGACGAATTTCTCTTTTCCAGAGTGATGTGAAAACTTATGTCCTCCCTACTAATCGCAGGTAATAACGATTTTGTAACCTCTATGCTGGTTGCTAAAGTCAGAAACAAAAGTTATCCAGATAAACATTAAAGTAAATAAGTTGCTGATACTAAAAACAATGTTTAAAAATATATCTATTCATATAAACTAATTTATACTCTGCTAAAATAGATGAAAGAATCCCATTCTTGATAAAGAGTATATTATATATATATATATATATAATAATTCTTTAGTTAAAAATATATAGGCAATGTATGCAAAAATGTATGGTATAATGCTGAGTTTTGGAAAGTTAGCACTGGTTTGATGTTTTTCTTTTAGTTGTAAAGGCGTCGTATTGTCCCTTTGATAGTAGGAGGTGGGGGAGCAGAAACCGAATTTTACAGAAAGCTCTATACTTTTCTATTGGCATATATATTGGGATCTAAAAGCTCATGGAAATGTTAGTAACGTTCTATAGATTTCTATGCCTTTCTGGAAATTCACTCAGTCTTGCTGAATTATCATTTATAAAATTCTCAAAGTTTCTAGGTTATTCAAGAATATTCCATTTTTCTATGAGAGTTTTAAGATTAGTTTGTTTTTCCTATGGAAAGTTTCGTTTATTTTTATAGATTTCTGTGCCCTCCTATTTTTGTTCTCCAATTTAATGAATTATCGCTTCATATGTTTATTAAAGTTTTCAGATTATCTTGGAAAAATTCGATTACTTTCTACAACTGTTTTAATATTATATAAAATGCCCTTATCGTGTTTCTCTGTTTTTATAACTTTAAATGTGTTTTCTTGAACATTATCAAATAAAATACAAATATATTTGTTAGAAAGTTCTTAGACAGTTCCAAACCAATTTTCCCTTATAATGGCTAAACTATATATATTTTTCTATTTTTATGATGTATCCTGACAAAAGTTTGCCACTATCTTAGGGATAATTTTAAATTTAATCCCTGGAATGGGACCCCCTGGGAAAGAGAACCACAGAGGAATGTCAAGCAGCCATAAAAGGGGAGCTTACAAAGGAATGGAGTCCCACCAGGTAATTTATCCCACTAGCAACTGGAACCCACCAGTTAACGTGATCCCAATGTGTTTCCTTTCGGGTCCTATTTTATTTTAATAAATTTAATACATTGATACATGCCGAAAGCTTTGATATTGGTGAATAATGTTTAAATGGGACAACTTTAACAGATTTTATTTGACTTGTAATTATGCTTTTTGACCAGACGCAGCCGAAATATTTGGCTGAGCCCCAAAAGGTTTACAACAGATTTCATCAATAACTTTTTTAAAGATAACGTTTAAAAATTCATTTTTGGTTTCTTTGTAAATGTGTCTTTTTACGGGGCTCTTTATTTCCATGTTGGCTAAAAGGTGGTAGAAGCTGATTTTAAAAATGCACCCAGGGTAATGCCCAAAATATTTGCGAGTGTATTTGTGTGTGTGTGTGTGTGTATATATATATATATGTATATATATATATTCAATATTAAAAGAATTTGATTTCTGACGTATCCAAGCATATATCTTTGAATATTACTTGCTTAGAACATGGTAACCCTTCTGCAAGAGTTATAATAATAATGCAAGGTACAAATTTGCATGGATTACTACCCTATATAAATGTGTATAATACAATCAACGTATAATGGGACCCCCAACTTTTAGTTTGAAAATAAGCCATAAAATTTTAATAAAAAGGCCATTTCCAATTACAAAGCGAACGGTTATAAAAATTTCAAATTCATTATATCATTATAAAATTTGACATGCAATGTGGATAAACTTATGAAACTGGGCTATGGGGCACTATTGATATGACGTGCTTTATGCACTAATAATATGTGCTTTGTGTCATTAAATTTAATTAGCTCAAAGGAATATTGTTGCAAATAAATAAATATATACTATTAAATGAAAAATTGCTTAAATGCTCATAAATTGCAAACTTTAAATTAAATTAGAAAAAAAAATATGTGTATTTAATTATATGCAGAGATATACGGTATACTCACTTATATCATAGATATGTGCACATTTCTTGGTGTATTATTATTAAGAATCAGTTCAACACCTCAGCAATCTTAATGTAGTGAATATGTTGAATATCATTAAAGCAAATTTTATATATCTGAACGGACACTAAAAATGGATTCATCATAATGACTAATCCTTGTAATATACAAATGATAAAGAACTTACTGAAATCCTTGAGATTTTTTGTATAGTTATTTAAAAAAATTTTTGTGACAATATGTTTTGTCATTTGGTCGATACTATACAAAAGTTTGAGGAAAATTGAATCACTGTCTTCCACATCATGCCACGAGGACGCAGACAAAAGTCCCTGAGAGGCACTCATCAGATCCTGAAAAGATTTGTTTTTCAACTATAAGCTAATATTATTAAATAATAATCATAATCTGTAATTGGTAAATTATGTTTGATTTCAAACATTTATTTTTTATTTGTAAAAAAAAATCAAGGTGGAAAGTGGTGGGTGCAGGTGAAGGAGGGGGGTGTTCAATCTAAATATCTAATAGTCTATCCATAAAAACCATGTAGAAGACCTCAGTTATGCAGGTAAATCTAAATATCTTATAAAAACCATGTTGAGGATGGATTTGATTTTTGCAGATAAATCTAAAAATCTAATAGTCTATTCATAGAAACACTGTAGCAGACCAGATTTATGTAGGTAAATATTTAAGATGTAAATTAATTATTTTCTGGTCAAATGAATTAAAAAAGGTCAAATGCTATAATACAGGCCTGCACAACTCAAAATGTAAGGCCGGCTGTAATAATTTATGAAAAACGTGTTCGGCTAAAAGAAAGTAGGACAAGACTTCTGTGGGCCAAAAGAATATAGGTTATGGGGGAAGCTATTAAGAAAATAATAAGATTAAAAATTATGTCATTTCTTCGCGGGCCGCAAAGTGGGTACTGGCGGGCCACATGCGGCCCGCGGGTCGTATGTTGTGCAGGCCTGCTATAATACATAAATATCTTTTAAAATTTAAAAGTAAGGACAAATATTTCACTTTGGTGTGATCAAATTGTTTGTGGAGTTGGTGAGCGGTGGGGTGAGTGAAGAGGTTTGTGTTTTTAAAAAATCATGATAATCACCTGATAATTAAGGGCCCAATATTGTGGTGTGGATAGGAACTTAACTTATCAACTTTGAAGGCATGCAGGAGCACAAAACCTAACAGTTTCAACATGCTTCCAAAAAAATCACTGAACGGATCTGTTAACACTTTGACATCAGGAAAGCTAAGCCCAGAGGTGTTAACTCTTTCATAACAAGATGGGAAGATTTAAAAATTAACATTGCCATGACTCAATATCAATGGCGAGGCCAGAGGACCGTGAGCACACCAAGACATGGGCATAGACAAGAGCAGAGACACGGGCAGAGACATGGGCAGAGACACGGGCAGAGACATGGGCAGAGACACGGGCAGAGACATGGGCATAGATATGGGCATAGATATGGGCAGAGACACGGGCAGAGACATGGGCATATATATGGGCAGAGACATGGGCAGAGACACAGGCAGAGACATGGGCATAGATATGGGCAGAGACACGGGCAGAGATATGGGCAGAGACACGGGCAGAGACATGATACTTAAATTATAGCGGTGTCCGCTATTTGACAGCTGAGCTTAGGCAGATTTTGTTGGAGTTTAAATGTGTGTGGCAATAGCACAGGTTTTAGCTCCCTAGAATGTGAGGGAGCTAACAATGCTTGGACCTTAGGAAAATTTAAATTGATTTATGGCAACAATTGAAAATGAAATCCCTATATTCAATAGTTGATGTAGACTTGGAGTTGGTTTAATCATTATTTTGGATTCTTTAGAAAAAAATTCCTTTAAACTGAAAAGTCATAGTTACCAAAGATGTAGTTAAGGGCGGGGATAGGGCTGCATAGGTGGGGGTGCCAAAATGGGATTTGAATGTAACAGTATTTTATTGATGAACATTATGAGTTTTAGAGTTGTGGGGGGGGGGGGTTAATAATCAAAATTGTCATTTATCATATAATTAAGATGGAAAATAAATCCTAAATTGATACATTACTGATAATGTAAAAGTTCAAAATTATAAAAAATATTTAAAATGTTCCTATGCAATCTGGTATTAAAAAGTAATTTCTTATTGATAGCTTGTTTGATTTAATATATTTACCTCAAAAGCTGTCTTGGTCACATTCATTTGGCTTAGTGAAGTTAAGATTAACACAGCATGTTTTAAGTCTCCAGATAGTAGGGTTGCATTCTCGGATACTAGGTTATTTATGTCTTTGGCAACATCTTCAACATTTATTTCAAGGG